AATCCAGATTCGTCCTCACCGAGTCCCACCACCAAGGGAGCGCCAGCAAGGAGATGCACATATGGGGATCCCCACGCAGTGAATAATTTGTCAATTTTCCCCGACGCCCCCCACCCCCCCTGCGAATGGAATGCAAATTGGGGCCTTCGGGTTGGGTTGGGGTGGTTCGGTGGGTGGTGAAGACCGGCGGCGCGCACAGGGTGGTTGGGGGGAGGGGGGAAGGCTTCTTAGGAGAAGTCTACAGGCAAGGCCCGCGCCTCCTAAGAAGCAGGGTTGCTTCTAAGAAGCCTTCACCCCTCCCCCTATCGGGAGCGGCCAAGAGGGGGGCGTCCAAGAGGGGGGGGGCGCAAGTCATGGCCGGCGGCATGTGCGCGGCACAGGGGGTGGGCGGCAGGGACGTGTTGCAATAAGGAGAGGCGCCATGAAATCTGGGGAGATATCATGGCCCCCGCCATGGCATCCCCCCCCCTAGTCATCACCCCCCTCTTTGCCGCCCCCGACCCTACACCCCTCTGCGCGTGGCCGAGACAAATGGCCCTGTGGAAGAGACGTCGGAAGGTCCAGGGACGCCGTACTGAACAACTCACGGTGTCGGACCTCCGACGAGCGTTAGGTCGGGCATATCCTCCTACAGGCGGATTTTCAAAGAAAACTGGATGTAGCCAGAAAAGCCCAGAAATGGTTAAACATTATCCTGGCAAAGGGCCCATCCATATGCAGTTGTGGGTGCCGCAATTGTAAATATCTTCTTCGGTGAAGCTCCCAACGAAGCCACGAAGCGCTGCACTTGGTGGGGGGGACAGCATGCGGGCGGTAGCACTGGGGCCGTGAGTGGAGCTCCCTATGGGGCCACGAAGCGCTGTACTGGGTTGGCGAAAATGCCAAGTTGGGCTTTCGGGACGCATGCGGGCGGTCCCACCGGGGGCTGTGGTGAAGCTGACTAAGGGGCCACTGGGGGCTTCGGTGGAGCTCCCTATGGGGCCACGAAGCGCCGTACTTGGTGGGTGAAAGTGCCAACTTGTGTGTGTGTGTGTGTGTTTGTGCGTGTTTGTTTGTTTGTTTGTTTGTTTGTTTGTTTGTTTGTTTGTGTGTGTGTGCGTGTGTGTGTGTGTGTGTGTGTGTGTGTGTGTGTGTGTGTGTGTGTGTGTGTGTGTGTGTGTGTGTGTGTGTGGGACGCATGCGGGCGGTCCCACTGGGGTCTTCGGTGGAGCTCCCTTTGGGGCCACGAAGCGCTGTACTTGGTGTGCGGGACGCATGCGGGCGGCAGCACTGGGGCCTTCGGTGGAGCTCCCTATGGGGCCACGAAGCGCTGTACTGGGCGTGCGGGACGCATGTGGACGGTAGCACTGGGACCTTCGGTGGGGCTCTCTATGGGGACACGAAACGCTGTACTGGGTGTGCGGGACGCATGCGGACCGTAGCACTGGTACCTTCGATAGGGGCTCCCTATGGGGCTACCAAACGCTGTGCTGGGTGGGTGAAAGGCAGGGAGGAGGGAGGAGGGGGCCACGAAACGCTGTACTGGGTGTGCGGGACGCATGCGGACGGTAGCACTGGGACCTTCGGTGGGGCTCCCTATGGGGCCACGAAGCGCTGTACTGGGTGGGTGAAGCGCAGAGAGGAGGGAGGAGGGGGAGGAGGAGAATGAGAAGAATGAGGAGGAAGAGAAGAACGCGGGGACCGTCTCTTCAAAACGAGGACCCAACGCCACAGGACGGTTGGGGAATAATCGAAGAATCACCCGACCATTTTCTGATTGTTTTGGAGCCTTCCCCCTGGAGAGGGGCCTGCCCGACTCAAACATGGCCCTGGGGAAGACGTCGGAAGGCCCGGGGACGCCGTGTCGAACAACTCACGGCGTCGGACCTCCGACGAGCGGGCGGCAGTCTGCCGGCGCGGCAGCGCCCTGCCTCGCGTTGGAGGGCGGCCCTGCCCTCCCCCGACGGATCCGTGGCCGCCTTCCCGGCAGGAACGTCGCTGGAGCATTTGCTCTCGAGCGACCCACGGGCAGGGCGCACGGGAGAACAGAGCTAGCGGGCCCTGGAACTGGGGGGCAACGATAGGGGGGGACTGGCACAAGGGGGGATGCATCGACCTGGAATCGGCGATACATCGCCGATAGATCGGCGATAGGCCACTGATAGTGAATCCGCACCTTCCTGGGCAGGTTGGGGCTATCGGGCCCCTATCGGCGATCAATGGGCGATTGCATGTCGATGCATCACCCCTATGCACATCCCCCCCTATCGTTGCACCTGAGGAACCGACAGGGCCGTTTTTTTCCCCGGTGCCTCTTTGCCATTTCTTGTTTGCCGGTTCGGGCGCCGTTTCTTTGCTCCCGTTCAAATGATGGCATCGTTTTCGTGGTCGTTTCCAGCGCCCCCTCACCGTGTAGCGGCCCGCAGGCAGCCCGTTCGGGCCTCGACAGGATGACGAGGAGGAGGAGGAATTAGCCTGGCGAAGAACCCAACCATATGCAGTTGTCAGTACCGCAGCTGCGGGTTTCATCTTCAGTGGATCTCCCCATAGGACCACGGAACGTGTGAGGGGTGTGCCGAGATGGGTGCCACTGGGGCAGTCGGTGAAGCTCCCTATGGGGACATGAAACACGCGCGGGGCGTGCCGACATGGGTGGCGGAAGCGCATGTGAGGGCCGCCGCTGGGGCCTCCGCTGGAGCTCCCAATGGGTCCCCGAAACATGATGCTGCTGCGAGGGGCGGTGCCGGGATGGGTGGCGGAGACGCATGTAAGCGCCGCTACTGGGGCCTTCGGTGGAGCTCCCTATGGGGCCACGAAGCGCGTGAGGGGTGTACTGGGATGTGTGGCGGGGACGCATGTGAGCGCCGCCACTGGGGCCTTCGGTGCAGCTCCTATGGGGCCACGAAACGTGTGAGGGGTGTGCCGAATTGGGTGCGGGTGGTGACGCATGCGGGCGGTGCCACTGGGGCCTTCGGTGGAGCTCCCTATGGGGCCACGAAACCTGTTGTTGTGAGGGGCGTGCCGGGATGGGTGGCGGGGGCGCATGTGAGCGCGGCGCTGGGGCCTTCGGTGGAGCTCCCTATGGGGCCACGAAACGTGTGAGGGGTGTGCCGAATTGGGTGGGTGTGGGTGACGCATGTGAGCGCCGCCGCTGGGGCCTCTGGTGGATGATGGGGCCACGAAACCTGTGAGGGATGTGCCGAAATGGGTGTGCGGGACGCATGCGCATGTGAGCGCTGCCACTGGGGCCTTTGGTGGAGCTCCCTATGGGGCCACGAAGCGTGTGAGGGGTGTGCCGACTTGGGTGCGGGTGACGCATGCGGGCGGCAGCATGGGGCCACGAAACGTGTGAGGGGTGTGCCGAAATGGTGTGCGGGACGCATGCGAGGCAGCACTGGGGCCTTCGGTGGATCCCTATGGGGCCACGAAACGTGTGAGGGGTGTGCCGAAATGGGTGTGCGGGACGCATGCGGACGGCAGCCACTGGGGCCTTCGGTGGAGCTCCCTATGGGGCCACGAAACGTGTGAGGGGTGTGCCGAAATGGGTGTGCGGGACGCATGCGGACGGCAGCACTGGGGCCTTCGGTGGAGCTCCCTATGGGGCCACGAAACGTGTGAGGGGTGTGCCGATTGGGTGTGCGGGACGCGTGCGGGCGGCAGCACTGGGGCCTTCGGTGGAGCTCCCTATGGGGCCACGAAACGTGTGAGGGGTGTGCCGAAATGGGTGTGCGGGACGCATGCGGGCGGCAGCACTGGGGCCTTCGGTGGAGCTCCCTATGGTGCCACGAAGCGTGTGAGGGGTGTGCCGAAGTGAGTGTGCGGGACGCATGCGGGTGGCAGCGGGACAGCTCCCCGGGGGGCCACTGTGAGGGGTGTGCTGAATTGGGACGCATGCGGGCGGCAGCACTGGGGCCTTCGGTGGAGCTCCCTATGGGGCCACGAAACGTGTGAGGGGTGTGCCGAAATGGGTGTGCGGGACGCATGCGGACGGCAGCACTGGGGCCTTCGGTGGAGCTCCCTGTGGGGCCACGAAACGTGTGAGGGGTGTGCCGAAATGGGTGTGCGGGACGCATGCGGACGGCAGCCATGGGGCCTTCGGTGGAGCTCCCTATGGGGCCACGAAACGTGTGAGGGGTGTGCCGAATTGGGTGTGCGGGACGCATGCGGGCGGCAGCACTGGGGCCTTCGGTGGAGCTCCCTAGGGGGCCACGAAGCGTGTGAGGGGTGTGCCGAATTGGATGTGCGGGACGCATGCGGGCGGCAGCACTGGGGCCTTCGGTGGAGCTCCCTATGGGGCCACGAAGCGTGTGAGGGGTGTGCCGAACTGGGTGTGCGGGACGCATGCGGGCGGCAACACTGGGGCCTTCGGTTGAGCTCCCTATGGGGCCACGAAACGCTGTAACGGGTGGGCGAAACGCAAGGAAGAGGGGGAGGAGGGAGGAGGAGGGGGAGGAGGAGGAGGGGAGAACGCGGGGACCGTCTCTTTAAAACGAGGACTTAACACCACAGGATGGTTGGGAAAAAGAAGAGGAGGAAAAGGGTGAGGGTGAGGGTGAGGGTGAGGAGGAGGAGGAGGAGGAGGAGGAGGAGGAGGAGGAGGAGGAGGAGGAGGAGGAGGAGGAGGAGAGGGAGGAGGAGGAGGAGGAGGAGGAGAAGACGAGAGAGGAGATAGGATGATAACGGGATCATGGGATGAGGTCGAGGAGCGTTAGACAGGTGTCTTCAACGCGATGCCGCAGGCCTGGAATCCCACAGGCCATCTGGCCCTCGATGTTCAAGATGTCGGAGACCTGTCGAAAGACGAGCCCCAACGCACGCGCTGTAATCTGTCACGACGTGGAGCCCCGGAGGTCGGGGCACCCTCCCCCAAACTACTTCTCCGTTCAGGGCCACGTGCGGCGGCAGAGAATCATGAGAACCTCTAGTCGTAGCTCTTTCACGACGCGGTCGGGCCTCGCAGGAGGAGGGAGGAGGACGAGGAGAGTGGTTGAACAAGCCCACAGCGTGCCCCCGCGCGGTGA